TTATGTATATTTTAAAAATAAAGTTTATATATATTTTTTAAGTTTTTAATATTTTTTTTAGTTTTTTAGTTCTTAGACCCAGGCATTGCTCCAGGGGCTAAGTTTTAATTTTTTTTAGTTTTTAAATATTTGTTAATTTTGGTTGTTTAATTTATTATTGTTTAAATTTTAATTTATTTAGTTTTAAGTTTTATTAATATTAATTTTTAAATTTTTTAGCTCTCAAACCTGGGCGTTGCTCCGAGGATTCAGTTTCAATTTTTTCTTGTTCTTAAATTTTTTAAAATTTGGTTTTTAGTATTTTAGTTTTTAAATTTAAGTAATATCTAGTTATATTGTTTTGATTGTATTATAGTTTTTAAAATTTAATTAATTTAGTTTTAGTTTTCTAGCTCTCAGACCCGAGCATTGCTCTGGGGCTTGGTTTCAATTTTTTCTAGTTCTTAAGTTTTTTAAACTTTGGTTTTTAGTATTTTAGTTTTTAAATTCAAATAATATCTAGTTATATTGTTTTGATTATATTATAGTTTTTAAAATTTAGTTAATTTAGTTTTTAGTTTTCTAGCTCTGAGACCCAGGCATTGCTTCGGAGGTTGGTTTTAATTTTTGTTTTGAAGTTTTTTTAAAAATTTAGTTTTTAGTTTTTTAATTTTTAGATTCAAGTAATATTTAATAGTATTGCTTTAATAATATTATAGTTTTTTAATTTTAGATTTTAGTTTTTAGCTTATAGACCTGTGTATAGTTTGAGTAGTTAGGTTTTAATTTTTTTTATTTTTAAGTATTTGTTAATTTTAGTTATTTAATTTATTATTATTAAAATTAAATAAATTAAATTATATAAATTTAGTTTTTATATTTTTTAAATAGTAGTTTATTAGTTTTTTGAGTATGTCAAATAAGTGACTCTCTTTTCACATATCAAATGAGTGATTCTTTTTCTGCATATCAAATGAGCAACTATCTTTTCGCATATTAAATAAGCAACTTTTTTTCTCTATATCAAATAGTGATTCTCTTTTTTCACAATAATCAAATAAGCAAGTCATTTTTCACAACATCAAATAAGAACTGTTTTTCTGCAATATCAAATGAGCGACTCTTTTTTGGCAATATCAATTGAGCAACTTTTTTTCTGCAATGTCAAATAAGTAACTCTCTTAGCACATCAAATTAGCAACTCTTTTTCTGTATATCAAATAAGCGACTCTCTTTCCATACATCAAATGAGTGACTCTTTTTTCACATATCAAATGAGCAACTCTTTTTTCACGTTCAAATGAGCAACTCTTTTTTCGCACGTCAAATGAGTGACTCTTTTTCCATGTATCAAATAAGAACACTTTTTTCACGTCAAATAAGCACTCTTTTTTTAAGTATCAAATGAGCAACTCTTTTTCTACACATTTAATAAGTAACTTTTTTTTCGCGTATTAAATAAGTGACTCTTTTCACACATCTGATGAGTGACTCTTTTTTTGTATATCAAATGAGCAACTCTTTTTTTGCATGTTAAATAAGCAACACTCTTTTTGTGTATCAAATAAGTGACTCTCTTTCTGTACGTCAAATAAGCAACACTCTTTTTGTGCGTCAAATGAGCAACTCTCTTTCCGTATATCAAATGAACAACTTTTTTTCTGTATTAAATAAGCAACTCTTTTTCTGTGTGTCAAATAAATGACTTTTTTTCTATATGTTAAATAAATAACTATTTTTTCGTATATCAAATAAGTGACTCTTTTTCCATGCATCAAATAAGTGACTCTTTTTCTGCATGTCAAATGAGTGACTCTTTTTTAGTACGTCAAATAAGTAACACTTTTTCTGTGCATCAAATAAGTGACTCTTTTTTCACGCATCAAATAAGTAACTCTTTTTTCACATATCAAATAAGTGACTTTTTTTTCGCACATCAAATGAGTAACTTTTTTTCTGCATATCAAATGAGTGACTCTTTTTCCATGTGTCAAATGAGTGACTCTTTTTGCATGTCAAATGAGTGACTCTTTTTCTACATGTCAAATGAGTGACTCTTTTTTCATGTATCAAATGAGTGACTCTTTTTCGCGTATCAAATGAGTGACTCTTTTTTCACATATTAAATAAGTGACTCTTTTTCACATATCAAATGAGTGACTCTTTTTTTATGTGTCAAATGAGTGACTTTTTTATATCAAATGAGTAACTCTTTTCATATATCAAATAACTTCTTTCTTTCTTTCTTTTTTTCTTTCTTTCTTTCTTTCTTTCTTTCTTTCTTTCTTTTTCTTCTTTTTTTCTCTTGCTTCCTCTCTTTTCCTCTTTCTCTCTCTCTCTCTCTTTCTCTCTCTCTTTTTCTCCCTCTTTCTCTCCCTCTTTCTTTCTCCCACTCTTTCTCTCCCCTTATCTTTCTTCTTTCTCTTCTCTTTCTCTTCTCTCTCTCTCTTCTTTCTTCTCTCTATAATATAATATATACCCTGCTTCGCAGTGTAAATTATATAAATAGAAACCCGCTTGCAGGTTTCCATGTAGCATTTGAGGAGATATTATGTAAACAGAAAACTGTGATGCAAGTTCCTGTATAACATTTAAAAAATGTCATGCTAAATTTTACCAGAAATCTCTTAAAGTCTCTCACTTACGTGGGGAACTTTAAGAAATCTCTGTTAAAATTTAGTATAACATTTTTTTAACTATAACTAACAATTGCACTTTAGTATTAAAGAGACAACAACATTATTGTTGATAAGATTAAATTTTCAAATGCTTAATTATAAATTTGTGCAATTGCTATAGGTTGGTAGAAGTCAGACCTATCTTTAGCCAAAAATACTGTACAATCAGCATAACACAAAACATCTAATCCTTTCATTTGTCAAAATCATATTAGCATTAAGTGATATAAAGAAAAGTGTAAGAATATGTGATCAATCAAATTTATTAAATTCAATAAAATAAAAAAAAGCATAATTAATCAATTCATATTTACAACAAATTGATATTATCAAGGTCAAGAAATTGAGAGACTTGACCAAAAACAACGTGCTCAAATGAGCTTTTTTTTCTTTTCATTAATTAAGTAACTATAAATTAGCTGGCATATTTTTCTTAATACCATGACCCTCTCAAATCTTAAACTTAACTCAGAATTGATACAAAAATTAATTCAATTAAACCGAGGTTGAAATTGGTTATCTATTAAAAGAACTGCTAAGCCTCAAAAATAGATTTAATAAAAAAAATTCAGGGAAACTGTACTAGAACTGCACTAGAACTGATATGTGCAGCACAAATACTAGTACTAGTACAAGTACAAGTACTATAAAAATGTTGGAAAAACAATTTTCTTTTTAGTAAAAAAAAAGAAAAATGATACTCACAGGGATACACAAAAACACAATTCATCCAATTAAATAATCACAATTGTTCAAGCAAATTCAAAAATAAATAAAAGACAAATATTAAACAAAATCTTATAGTCGTTAAAAAAAAACAAACAATTTGCAAATATTTACCTAAAATAATATGAAGCCTTATTTTTTTTTTTATCTATAAATATAATACAAATTCGATAAAAAATTTTTGGGGGTACAGCACCAGAACTGATATATAATGCTCAAGCACAAGTACAATATATAAAAATGCTGAAGTAAACAATTTCCTTTTTGGATAAAATAGGCAATGTGGTGACTTATGAGAATACACTAAAACCTCAATCAACAAATTGAAATTCGTAAGTTTAAACAAATTTAGAAATAACCAGAAAGTACCCCAAAAATAAACATCACGTAAAATATTAATGTTGTTAAATTTTAAGGATATTTATAACTATAACTAGTAGTAATGATCACTGGTGTATAATTAGCCAATGGATTTGCAGGATCAGATGTAACGTGCAAATTAATTTGTGTAACAAAATAAAGATTTTTTTAACACAATGACAATATCTCAAGAATTTGCCTATGAAACTACCTTCAATGTTCTAACAAAAAAAATTCCTTGCTAAATTTTGCATATATCTAACACATTGCTAAAATCCCAAGTCTTACCCTAACCCTAAAGTAAATAAAATAAATCTTTATTTAGTTTATCATTATTGGCTAATTATACGCCAGTGATAATCACTGCCAGTTATTCAAAGTTATTTCCTTTATGTTATATTAAAATTTATATTTTTTTATAAAAATAATTTTTTATTTTATATTGCTCTTAAAATATAATCGCAATGTTATTAATAATTATAGTTAAAATTTTTTAAAAATTTTTTAAAGTTTTATATTTAATTTTAAAGTCAATTTTATAAAATTTATATGTTTTATATATAAAATTTTGAATTATAAACTTCATAATTTTTTGAAAAATCAATCCAATTTGTTCAGCCCGATGAAACTTATATATTATAGAATACAAATATTGAATTTACTAATCATATTAAAAAAAAATTTTTAATAAAAAAATATGAACTTTTACATCTTATATAAATTTCAATTTTTTATATGTTTTACTATAAAAAAACCATCGGGCGTTACTTTTGGTGACTACTATACGTACGTACGTACATGCGTACGTACTGTAATACCGTTTCGAAGGGCGTGCGTATGTACAATGAAAATTATACCAGATCTAAATTTTGAGCACACGTGCGGTTAACATAGACTTATAAAATTTAATTTTTATAGGTAAAGTTAGAGCAAACACTCTTTTGTATTAGAGTAAAATATCTTATAAGAAAGTAACTTTGTTTTGAATATTGTCTCTTTTAACAATATATATAATGAGTGCGAGCAAGAGAAAATGTACATTCTAAAAATAGATTATTATAAAATTCATAATCATCTATTTTTAGAATGTACCTTTTCTCTTGCCCGCACTCATATACAGCGTAGTTCTTTTTTTGCTAAAAGACACGTTTAGAAATTCCTGATCGTTCTATCGTGTAACGTACAAGTAATATTAAATATCCAACCTCTGATTTTTCTACACATCTTTATACTTCAGTACTTAGAACGATATAGGATATGGGCAATTATAAAATTTTAATTTGGCATCTTACGGTAGTTTTCCTTGTTAATGTTTTTATAATAAGACATAGCGAAACAAATAATTTAATTGAACAAGATTTAACTGATTATGGAGCTCTACTATCTGCTCGACAATTTGAAGATGGAAAAATGTTAATAGCTACTATGAATGGAAGTGCTTACCTATTATATCTCATTTATCAAAACGGAAGTATCATCCCCGTAAACTATAATCATTCTATAAGTAGTCCAGATCTTATTCTTATGGACTTTAAACCTTTAACAACAGATCATGTACTTATGATTTATGATTCAACAAATTATTCGTCAAAAAAACGTACTTTGCTCGGAATTATTATAAATCTAAATTCACATGGCAAAGTGACAGTGACAGAGTATGTATTCATGTTCTTACTACTTAAAGAGTTATATAGTATATATTTATAAGTTGTTACTGTTTATTTTTGTAGCAATATTACTTTAATGTATCAATATAACGGAACTCAGCATAACGGAACTAAGGATTATACTGTTACTGACTATAGCAGCATTTCACAAAGTTTTGTATTTACATATAGAACATATGATCCTAAATTTTGGTATAACATGAATAATTATCTAAATTGGACCAAATATAAATTCTCGTAAGTTTAAAATGCGAAATGCATACGTATGACCTATACATATAACCTATTTTGTGGAATAAAGGCCTCGGAAATTTATTTTTATCTGAATATAAATAGGAGATACTAAGAGTGTGTATATTACTATTACCGTGAAAGGTCATATAAAAGAACCTCATATATCAGACCCACCTCATTTTTTACTAATTATTTCTCTTTTTACTAACTAATTTTTTGGTGGAATGTAAGAGACCCGGGTCTTTTATATGACATTTTACGGTAGTTAAAAAAGAAAGATGCTTAGAGTGTACTTTACTCCTCAAGATATTGTATATTTTAATTCCGCTTCGGGCACTAATAATTCTCGCATTAACAGGCAAAGTGATGGCACTGCTACGCCAATATCAAATGGAATTATTAAGCTAAGAAATGGATTTGATTTAAAAAACCATGATGCATTTACTACTATCGATGGTCATCATGTAATTAACCCCTTTCAAAGTTTTTCGGTGATCTGCCTCTGATCATTTCTTTTTTATATTGTGTTTGGACATGTGGCCATTTTCTTATTGGCTT